TAGTTGGTTACTTTAAGTGTAAAGATTATCAAACTGTATTTAAAAAATATAAATCATTTGAACCTTTAGAACTCTTTTGAAATCTAACTTCATGTAGACTATAGACTCACGAGTGTGCTACGCTTAATTTTAAGACAAATAGAATATGATGTTTTATATTAATGACCTTTTGAATTCCTCGTGTGCAATGATATAAAAGACTGTAGTGACTATATTATTAATTATATTAATTTTCATAAACAACTGAGTATGCATCTATCTAGGTAAGCATATCAGTACGAACCCTTCTGTCCCTATTTGAGTGTAGCCAGTACGTATATAACAACATAAGCACTCTGAGTTCCTGAGGTCTCAGTGTTTATGTTTACCTCCCAGGCTTATTTACATTCGGACTTACTCTTTATGGTACATGTAGAAATAATAGGGTTTTAGTGATTAGTAAGTCAATTTTGATACTCATCCTTCAATTAATTCTGTTACTTTATGAAGATTCTTGTAAAAGTAGTACAAGACTTCAAACTATCAAAGTAATAGCTAGATTACTGAATACCTCTGTTAACTAAGGTCCATCCTACCCACTAATAAAGTAAATACACTAATTTAAAGGAAAAGAATGTTTTTTTTAAAGAATCACTTTTTAAGAGTTAATTTTCACCACTCCCTCAAAAATAGCCACAGTCAGTTAATACAATGATATACCTTTATCCTCTATATTTACGGGAAAATGTTGAATAGTTTTCTCAAATGGAAGAGAAATTAATTAGCCATTTCAACAAATATCTTAAGAAGTAACCCAACAAAAGATAATCAAATGATAAAGCCAAAGAACCAACCATAATAGCTGCAAATGACAAAACCCTGTCATTTTTGCATCAGTGACAACAGTGCATCAAGTGCTTTCGGAATGTTTGTCTACAAATAGCTAAGCCACTTGCAGTTGATGTTTTCTGTATGATTGCAATATACTCTGAATGCTCACAATTTATGAAGCATTGTGAGCATATAAATACACCAAATGGTATATTTCTAAGTATCAAAATGTGACCACTTGTGCTCAGTGATAAGAGTTCATTTATAGCCTTTGCGATGACCTGGTTTATACCCAATTAGAAAAAAACACCCAACCTACCAGACAAATAAAGAGAAATGTAAGCATTCAAAAAAGTCAAGGTTAAAGAAAAGGTATTGAGGTTGAAACTTAAAAAAAAAAAAAAAGCACTATATTGCAAGCTGTGGAATCGTTATTTTTTTTATCTGTTTTACATAAGGAAATGAAATCATCTTACCTGTCAACCTGATACCAAGAAAGAGCTTAAAATGTCAAGATTCCCTCCCCCAACCTTCATGGTTTATTAAGCAAAAAGCCAAAACTCTCCATGGTCCCTTCTGGTTCCAACAATCTATGATTCAAAGGGATGTAATGGCTCTCTTTTCTTGTTGGGTTGTGTCCTGGTGAGGGAATGGTTTTACTGTCCTTTTCTGTGGGGTCCTGCCGGTTAATCTAAAAGGAAATGAATTACAGCAGGAAGACAGGGCTACAAAATGAAACCATTTAGTTTTACAAGTCTATTGTGTCCTTAGATATGTTTTATGGGCCTGGTTCTATTGTAAGCCAGAGGGGGAAAAATCCTTAAACAAACTTTACTTTCACTCCCTTTCCAGTGAAAATATTTACAATTTTATGATTGTCTTTCAAGTCATTTTGGCCAACTTCCTCCTTCCGTGCTACTTTTCCCAAGAACCTTCTATCCCACTTGCTCAAACGTAAAAGACACTCAGAGACAAGAAACTGGACTTCTCAAATTCAAACTGCTGACAACTGTCAGCACTTTACTGGGGCATTACTGACTGTAGCTTCAATGAATTAAGCTTGATTCACTGCGGGTGAATCATTTTCAATGCAGAGCTGTTCAGCAGTAATTGGCCAAGAATCCCTGCTGAGAAAAGCACTTGTCAAATAATGCTTGTTTACAAATATATCTCCAGACAGCAAAAAGTGGCAGTTACTGAATAAGTTCAGGGCCACCTCCAAAAATTCAGAATTGTTGGCCCAGACACTTTATTTATTACATTTCTTAAAATCGTTCACTTGTTGATGCACTTACAAATGCTGTCCTCCTGGATCAATCTGAAATTAAAGTCTCCCGCTAAAAGGCTTGTAATTTTATTTTTAAGTAAATGTTTGCCCACTTCAATGCAGACTAAGTGTTTCTTCCTAGTATGGTTTATACCTATACATTAGAAATGAACACACATTGATTGTATAATTTGTTTAGAATGCAGTTATCCAGGAAAGATGGATTTCAGAAATAATTGGGTTAACCAGTGTAAACCACAATTCACATTTATTTCTTCTTGTCTGACACTTGATCATATAATCATATCATGTACCATCTATATGTGTTTAACATATACAAACATATATGACTGAAGAATCAATAACCATTTATGTAAGTTGCAGACAGAAACTTTTATGAATTTTATAAACTTCGTGAATCAATTCATTAATAAGTTTAGCATGAAAATAAAATGTTTCAGTATATGACCTTCCAAAGTTCTTTCATTAAAAGCAAGAAGCAAATGGATGGTGTGTTTCATCTTATTTATTAAATAAATAATAAAGAGTAATGCTATGAATCTTTCAATGTATGCCACTGCTCCATCTTTAAAAGCAGTGGTACAGAAAATGTAAAGCAGAAAAGAATTCACATTTCGAAAAACAGAAGGATAGGGGACGGGATTATAGATGGTGCCCTCTTGGGTCGTGAAGGAATGAATTGGACAGACAACGTCAATAGCACTAATATCACATCTTTAACTACACATCACAAAACGTTCGCCAAACAGCAGGCACACTTGATTCTGGATGTCTTCAGAGCACAAGCTTGCTTTTGTTAGATCCTCCAACCCTCATCTGCATGTTACCAACTCAGCTGTGTGGTTTACTAGCTGGGGAAGATTGCACAACCTGTGGGTGTTAAAGCTAATGCTTGCATGGCCCTATTCCCCAAGATGCAAGTTTTGCTTAGGGCACCATTGGAGACTTGCGCTATTTCCCTACTTCCTTCCTGTTCCTCCTGCTTGTTTTTGATCTCCTGAGTCTTGGCCCTCATTCACATTGGGTGTCACACTCCCTGATAATTTATTTCTTCAGTTCTTTTATAGAGACTTCCTTGAGTCCATTTCCGTCCCCATTGTATACATTGTAAGGGGGTTGTAGAAAGCTGCTTGAAATGACTAGGTGAAGAGAAGGGTGGGTATGCTATTACCCTTAAATCGTTTTGCAGTTCAATCAGGATGGCCCTCTGGTTGGAATAAAATGGATAGAAGCCCCTCCTTCCTCCTCTCTTTTCCTGCTCCTCCTCCCTCTTCCTATATCCTCCCTTCCCCAAAACCCCCTCCCCTGCACTAGTCCTCCTAGAGCTTTCGGACTTCTAATCTAATGGTCTTAACATAGGACCAAGTCTAAAACAAACTAACAAATAACAAAATAAAATCACCACTTTATAAAAAAAAAAGAAACTTTACAGAGGAAAAAAAATCAACTTGTTTGGCTTCAGCAAGAAGCATGGCTTACTACCAACAGATATCGACAGATACGCATATTCTTCTGAACAGATGTTTAATAATAAACATAGTGAGCGAGTCAGTGGGGTGGGGTGTGAGTCTCCATCTGCCCTGCTTTCGCAGGGTTCCTTGGGAACTGGCAGCACTCGGGGTTACCAGCTTAGCGTCTTCTACAGCAGACTGAATCTATGCTAGTCACGAGGGCATATACCACTCTGCTGCTGCTACTTCATCTTTCAGGTCCAGCATCTCCTGTCCCCAAGTGCAAGGATTTATTTAAGATTTTACACCTTGGGAGCCTCATCCACAGCCCAAAGCTAAAACCCCAGGCTTCTAGACAGGATTTTGATGATTCCACAGTGAAGTCAATCACTCCTGGTAACCGGAGAATCTGGTCTGAGATGCTGAGCGCCTACCACATGCTCCACCCTCCCCTGTGTGAAGGCTTGAGCCCTTAAGCTGAGACCAGCTCAAGCCATGATGATTGAAAGAAGAGCAGACCTCCAGGGTGTGAGAGGACCCAGGGCGAGGCCATAGAATGAAGCAAGACTGGTTTCGCAGAGGTTGAGACCAGCTCAAAGGAAAGCCGAACACAGGTGGTGCTCCTGCCTCCAGATTTACTCTCCCAGAGGAACGCAAAAGAGTCTGGAGCAAAGAATTGGGGATAGGAGGGTTGCATACTTCAAGACCTAGTGCCTCTGGCTAGGACAGATCTTCTCTCAGCAGATAAGCTTTGGTGGGATCCATGAACAACTTCCTGGTATCCACACTGCCTGTGTCCCTCAACACCATCCCACCTTCCCGCCTTCCTCTACCTTTGCTTTAGAATGTTAGTGAGCCCCCCAGCTAGAAGGGCATCCATCTGTTTCTGCTCTTCACATCCCCCTTCCTCAAAAATTAAAGCTCTGGTTACCCAGCTTGTAAAGCTGCTAGTGGTGCTCTAAATAACAGCTCCCGGGCAGGGGCAGGCACTTTCTCCAAAATAAAATCAGCTGCCACCCTGAAATCGTCTTCCAACATCAGCACCAAATAATGGTTTCTAAGCCGCGCACATATCCTAAGAGCCTTGTTGTCATCTCTCTCTATAAGCCGGATGTGTCACTTCTCCAGGTTCTCAGGACCCAACCGCACCCAACCTCCCAGCTCAGGTCTCAGACCTCTTTCCGTCAGCCTTCCAACTTCCCAGCCCCCAACCAGCCTCAGTCCTCAGGCAGGTTCTTTGCCTGAGGAACACTCTGCAGCTATGTCAAACAATGCAACCAAAGATACCAGAGAGATCCGGAAACGCCAGCAAAAGCGGACAAACATTAATTGGAGATGAAGAGTAGGGTTTGGTCTCGGCAGCGGCGCTTGGAGCGCTGCGACCGGCTGACACAAGCTCCACCTCACCCATTCACCCCAGGGCGCATTGGTCCCCACCTCCATTACCCTACCTTCGTTGCTCGGGCTGGCCAAAAGGGTCCGGAGCGCCGCACACAAGAGAAGGCACGTCCAGAGAGGACCCTTTAGAGGTGCTGAATAGCAGCCTGCCAGAGAGGCAGGGACGCGGGAGGTGTCGTCGCCGCCACCTCTGCCCTGGGTCCGTCGGCGTCCCGCACCGCGGGGCCCGGAGCCCCGCATTTTCTACTACCCTCTTCTGCCTCTTCTGTCCCGCGTGGCTCAGTCTAAGGTTCAGGCTTGGAGGAAGGGGCGAGAGAGACGCGGAACTCCTCCTCCTGGTGGGATCCTGTGCCTTCTGGCTCTCGACCCCTCTAAATGCGGGAATCACAGATCCGCAGAGACCGCTGAAGTTTGCTTCTGGCTCGTGTCGCCCTCCCTTTCAGTTGGATAAGATGAATTAGAAGTTCAGATGGCTAGTACAGTCCTGGGTGGGCTCAGTCAGGGGTCTGCAGAGGGTCTTGAGTCCCGCTCCTTTGCCTTTCAAGACTTTCCTTTTTTCTGTTTTTCCCCCTTTCTTTTTTAGAATTGTTATGTTTTCCTTTAAAATGCCACCAGGGTTGGAGTGGTGGTGAAGGTTCCCTTTTAGTCTTCTGTGCTGATACGGACGAGATTAAAGAAGACGAGTCATCTTAAATCAAGATGATGTTTTCCGTTTAAAATAAAAAAAAAGAGGAGGGAGCAGGGAAAAAAAGCAAGCAGAGTGTCTACACGTATCAAGGGGAGAAGAGTAGAGCAAACGGTGTGTTGCAAACACCGAGGAGAGTGGAGCCCAGGCAGCAAGCGATCTAGAGAACTGGAGAGGCCGGCAGAGGGAAGTCAAATCGCTGCGGGCTGAGCGCTGCCGGGGGGCGGTGCGGCGGGCGGAGCGGGCTGGAGCGCGGGCCCGGGAGCGGAGCGGAGCCGGGAGGCTCGAGCGGCTGCCGTTCCTGATGCTCAGCGCGGAGGCGGAGTGCGCGGCGGCCAGGGTGAGCTGGCGACTGCACACCCGCGCGGCTCGCTCGCTCGCTCCTGCTGTGTCTGGAGCTCCAGCGTCTCCCCGAGCCGCCCGACTCCGCGCCTCCCACCTCCTCCCTCCGCCCTGCGCTCCCCCGCCCTCTGCTGCTCCGGGCCTCGCCAGTGACAAGCTACTGTAAGTGTGACTCGCTTAAACGAAGTCGCACACCCACGGAGGGAAGTAATCTGCAGGCTGCCGTGGTGAGTGTTGCCTAGCGGTCTCCGAGAAAGGCGCGTCTTCCTCCCGGGATAATTAGGGTAAAGAATCCTCCCGAGGACGCCTGCCAGGACCAGAGGTCCCTGAAGGAGGAAGGGAAGCCAGCCCTAGCTCAGCCCGCAGCAGGAGGAGCAGCGGGTCCCTGAATCTGGCATAGCGCCTGCTGCCCTTTGCAGGCTGTGGCACCAACAACCTTGTCGTCATATAACAGCACATTCGCAGGCTCTGCTGGTCCGTGGCTAGTTTCTTAAACACCCATGTTCCTCAGTTCCTTTGACCCTTTCTGTTCTTCTGGAATGAGATAATTACTTCTTGGGAAGTAAACTGTAGACTATATAAAGTCAGGAATAGTAGATGGGAGATGAGATCTCAGGGAATCAAAGAATTTGACTGTTGGCATTTGTACTAGTCTAGGTACATTATAATACATGAAGACTTTTTTCATATATTTAAGTGATAGGATGCTTTTGTGATAGAATACTTATTATTAGTATTAAAATTACGTAATGGGAAAACATGCAGTTAATTCCAGTGAAATTAACACGGGTATAATAATGTCAGAGTTTTAACATTTTTAATTATTTTAATTGCCCGTGGTCCATTACACTGAAAGAATAACAAATAACCAGGAAAACGCAGCTTAAGAGCGTCCCATTTTCTTCGCTTCCCCTTGTGTTGTGTCTTTCTGCTTTAATATCCTCCTTCAATTTACTCGTTCATTGTTTCAAACGGATACACAAGAAGGGCAATTTTAGGAGGCTAGCTCTCAATATCAGAATGCAAAGTGCTCTCCCCAAAATGTGTGATTTTTAGAAGAAAGGTATTTCCTTCAATTCGGCCTTTGATAACTACTTTTAAGATTGGGCTCCTGCTCACACCCACTAAAGCTGAACACCAGTCTGACACACCTAGACTGTTGATGCCTTCACAATAAATTTGTCACAATTGTTAAATTGTGGGTTTTGTTTAGATGCTTTCAATGAAGAAGAAAAACAAAACAGCGCAGTGGCACACTCGTTTAAAGAGGTGGAAGCTCATCTTTGATTTTTTTTTCCCCTGAATGTTTTGGCAATTGGAAGCTGAAAGCAGATTCATTCTATTATGATGTGCTTCGAACGCATGAAGCAAATATAGAGGAGTGGCAGTGAATCTGTCTTCCCGTTTGGCAATGAGCCTCACTGTGAGCTGGAAAGTTAAAATTTATGTGTCGATTTGAAGACCATTCAAAATACGAGTCTTTCCTCCACCCTGGTTTATAGCTGAGTTACTTAAGAATTTCAATACCGAATAGCAAGGAAGAAATCTAAAGCCTTGCAGTCCACAAGAAAGCTAGCACAAGACTTGGGCAGTTCAGTGGCCTATGAGTATGTGCTTTGCTTCTTTGGCCTCGGCGTTCTCATTAGTGAGATTAGGGATTTACAGGGAGAGTTTCTAGCATCCCAATCTCATTCTTTTTTACATTGTGTGTGTGTGTGTGTGTGTGTGTGTGTGTGTGTGTGTGTGTGTTTTGATATGTGTGTTGATATGTGTGTGTGTGTGTGTGTGTTGGTGTGTGTGTCTGAATGTGCCTGTGAGTATATATCTGTCCTACCTCTCAAGAGTAGTAAATAATGTGTAATTATTTAATATCAATTATATAGAAATCAAATATGTTTAGCCTATAGTTTATACTCCCGTGTTACGTGTTACAAAGGCCTTAGACAAAGTTTCTGTGTTATGGTTTGGCAAAATTTGATGTTTGCTTTTCCTGAAATGTCTCATGCTTCTCTGATTTTGATGCCCGATACTCCTTTCCGTAGAAGTTTCTTCTACTCGTACTTTAAATTTCCTCACTACATACTGCACTGCTCCATAGCTAGCTCTGAAGCGCAGATATTCAGGCCTGAGGTTTTCCTGACAAGATTTCTCTGGGATGGTTAGTTTCTTTGAAGGATCCAAAACTTGGAGTTTCTATCAAACAACACAATATTTTCCGAATGTAAAGCTAAAGATAATTGTCTAAATACACACAGAGATACATAATACATACAGAATATTATATATTTATATATAATAAAGAAACAAATACAGTCTAAACCAAGTATGCCCAAGTTTTTTTGGACATTGGTCATATAGCTTAAACGTGCAACCTTCTACTCAAGATGAATGATTTAAGTGATTCAGAATGCCTAATGTAAAATCATTTTTATTGTTCAAGTATTTGTTTAATAGTATTTATCACATATTTTGAAAGAAATAACAGCTGTAAAAGTAAGTCCCAACGACAGTTATATTTATTTTTACCAAACATTGTTAATCAGAGAATGCTATGGTAGTTGTTTGGCATTGGCCTCAGTTTCAAAGACCTTGCACTTGGCCATATGTTATTTTCTTGGCACATAATTAATCTTTGCCCACATTATAGAACCAAGCCATTGAATAAAACTAGAGTTCTGCTTTTCTTTCATACCTACAATGTTGAACAATAAAATGTCACCACATCTTATTGGTTTGGATGTTCTATGGTCTGTATTTGCCATAAAAATTATGTTTCAAAGTGAGAATGTTTCTAGCTTCTTCTTAAATCTTTGCTTTTCTAATGAGCTGGGTTATTATTTTGGTTTGTTTGTAAATTTATTTGTTCTTAGGAAAAAAATATGTAGAGTAACCTTGACAGAACACCCTGAGAGCTGAGTGCCCTTGTATTTTCAATGTTGGGATATAGTGAATAAATTAAAAAAAATCCTGCCTATATCTTATTTACACTCAAAACAGAATAAAAGCAGTCATAGTACAAAACATTACATTATTTACTGAAAATTTACTCCGTGTGAGGGATTACTTGATGATTTCACATTAATTACTTCCCAATGTTAATGAGAAAAAGAGGGAAGGAGGTTAGGTGACCTGAGTAGTCACACAGCTGGTAGAACATTTGAATTTTAACACATGTTCTGGCTTTATCTTAAAAAAAAAAAAGCCAGTGCAACAGATACAAGGGATGAATGTATTTCTACATAGTGATGAATAAATAGAAACAGTGGTTTCAAAACTCTACATTAATCAGACAACTTGATAAAAATATGCTTCTGTGATTTAAAAAAATCAAATAATACCATATATAAAGGATGATGTAAGAGATAAATAAAGAAGCTAAAATTATAAGTAATCACAAACATGTATTGCATAATATTCTGTGAGTGTGGGTGTGTATGTGTGTATGTGTGTGTATGTATGTGTGTATGTGTGTGTATGTATGTGTATATGTGTGTGTATATATGTGTGTATGTGTGTGTATGTATGTGTGTATGTGTGTGTATATATGTGTGTATGTGTGTATGTATGTGTGATTGTGTATGTGTGTGTATGTGTGTATGAGTGTGCGTGTGTATGTGTGTGTATGTTTGTGTGTATGTGTGTATATGTGTGTATGTGTGTGTATGTATATGTGTGTGTATGTGTGTGTGTATTTGTGTGTATATGTGTATATGTGTGTGTATGTGTGTGTATGTGTATATGTGTATATATTAGTGTGTGTATGTGTGTGTGTATGTTTATATATGTGTATGTGAGTGTGTGTTTGTATGTGTGTATGTGTGTGCATGTGTGTATATGTGTGTGTATGTGTGTGAGTGTGTATGTATAAGTGTGTATTGTGTATGTGTGTGTGTATTGTGTATGTGTGTGTATGTATATGTGTGTATGTATGTGTGCATGTGTGTGTATGTGTGTGTGTATGTGTGTGGGGGTGTGTGGGTGTGTGTACAGATAGAGTGATGATAAAATGTGCCATCAGGATTAAGATCTGTAGACAGCTAACGTTAGCACAGATAAATGACGTCAAACTCATGCATGAAACATGGTAGAAAACAACAATCTCTGTAATCTTTTAATTTAGATGATTTTTGTCATTATGTAATTCTTTTCGGGGGGACTTTGTAAAAAATAATAGTGGAGCAAATAAAATTAAAAGATGGTCTAAACTATAAAA